TGAGAGCCAGGAATTACTTCTTTTCTACTTTGTTGATGTATGTTGGACCTCATAGTTAAAGTAATTGCAGTCCTCATGTAGTCTAGTGGACTAGCACTTGGAATATTTATGTGAGCTATTATTTTTTGTCCCCCCCCCATTAGAGGAGATGTTTGCATTTGTCAGAGAGACAGAAAGGGAAAGTAAGAAAGCCCCTTCACTTGCAATGGCGAATGGTCATGCCATAATCCCTTCCACTCCATTTCTCTTTTCAGGGTTTGGGACATACACACACATGTGCCCAGCGTATTTCTCAAGCCACTGGGTCCGCCTTCTCAAGCCATACAGCTGGCCATGTGGGAGCCAGCTGTTTTAACCACTGCACTACTGGCCGGCCCTATATTTATGAGCTTTTTATAAAAAGACTATGAAAGTCCCATCTGATTGCTCCCACGTGGATTCACAGACCGGCAGAATGAATGGAAGGGTCTCTTGAAGGTAGAGGCCAGACTTTTCTGTTGTGCTGCCTTCTTGAGATAGACAGCTTTGGGTTCGGAGAAAACCTCCAAATGCTGGCACCATTTGAGCTAACCCCGAGAGCTCAGCGCATCCATCTTCCCACCCTCAACCATGTTCTTCCCTTATTCTAGTTCTGGGTTATCCAGAACAGATAAGGCATAGATGGACTCAAGGATGCAGTGTTACTGGTAGATCTTCTAGTGAAAGATTAAAGGGATTATAAACCAGGGGCCAGATGGCGGTACAACACTAGCATAACTCTCTACAAGACTGACCTACACGAGAGAGTTCCCAGTTCACAGCCAGAAACCTCCCTGAGTGCATTGGGTTCTATCATGTCTGTGATCTGGGGTTTGCAGAGGCTAGGGATGGATCACAGCATAGAGACCCTGTAGGGGGTGCCTCTCTTTCCTCCTCTCTCACTCACTCATGGAAGAAGGAAATAAATATATATTTTTAAAAGGGATTATAAATAAGACTCTATTACTCCATTATTTTAGGGTCTCTTCTGTCCTCTTTGGATCCTCTCCTCTTTTTGGAAAGCTCTTCTCTATGGAACATTTTCTTCCATGAGGTGGAAGACAGGTTTGAGGTGCTGTCTCATTGGGGTGATCTGAGGTGAGGAACCAAAAGGAAGAGTCCTTATGCATCATGCCATCCAGACTGGGCCCCTGAGGGAAGAGACTGAGGCCACACTTGGCTTGGTGGCCAAAGCTCTACTCATTATAAGAAGCATCGTTTGCTGGAAGATTATATGTGTAGCTCTCCCTCTGGACATGAGAAGCTAAAGCTGTGGCCACAATGTTGAGCTCTGGTCTTTTATGGCTGGACTTTCCTACAACCAAATCAGAATTGGTAGTTACAAGCATATCTTAGATGGGAAGGAACGTAACTTTATTCTCTGACTGCACTCCACTCCTTCTTGAGCCCTTATGGTGCAAAAGATGGGGAAATGATATGGTCTCAGGAAGGCCCATCTTCTTTGAATAAATACGGTATCAGTTCAACATTTGGAATCCCAGAAGTGCAGGTCTTTTTTCCATCAAGTGTGCTCTCCCTCCCCTACTCTGTCTCCAGGTACACTTGGAGGCTAGAATGGGTCCCCAGCCTCTGGACTCTGGTCTCAGGTGATGTTGAGCTGACATCCACTGTGAATGTCCACAGCCCCACTGTGCCTTCTCTAGGCCAAACTTGCTGGGCATTCTCATTATGAATCCAGGCCTTTTCCCATTTCCCTGGCTTCCCTACTCCCAGCTGAGTCTATGAGGCTGCCCTCTCGCCCCTGTTCCTGGTTATGTCCCTCAACCAAGTGGTCACTAAACTCCTTAGTGGCTGTGCCCTAAGAAGTAGGTGAGAATCCCTGCTTTCCTCAGAATCTACTTTATTTTTTGGGGTTCTGTCTTTTTATAACTCTGTCCTATTGCAGAGTGAAGGCCTGGGAGGGCATGGTATGGGGCACTTCTCAGGGATTGGGGAGTTTCTGTACATTCGTTCCATCTCTGAATGACAACTTCCTGCATTTGAATTTTCTTTTCCATCTTTGGGTGTAGGAAGACTTCTCCACATCCTACGTTGCCTCCTTCCTGCTCTGGGACTACCCGATGAGCAGCTGTCTAAGCTCTGACCCACCAGAACCCACACATTCATTATTCTCTCTTTCATTGAAGGGGGAATGAAAGCCTTGCTTTTCAGACTATTGTAAGGCTGAGGACTGAATGCTAAAACTAAGTGAGCAAAGCCCCCTATCTAACTCCATCTTCCCCTACCAAGACTTGGTTCAGTAGGCGGAAAATTATATCAGATAATCTGTCAAGTTATCCGGCTACATGGCCAACTATGGGAGGGTTCCCACCTCTTAAAGGAGTCAAGCAGCAGGCTAGGCTTCATTTCCTCAACACTCTCTTCTTGGTCCTTGAACTCTGTGGGTTGTGATATTAAAGACAACATTGATAAACCCCAGCAAATTTTTCTATTCTGCTACTTAAGTGTTATATTCCTGGAATTTTCCAACTAACTTTATTTTTTTTTAAATAAAAAAAGCTTTAATTGTCAGAGGGCATATATACTAACTGGAGAGAGATAAAGAGGGAGAGAGAGAGGGAGAAAACACTTCCAATGGGGTGTGGCCATTCTGTAATCCTTTCTTCTCCATTTCTCCATGCAGCTAGGACTTTGGGCACATACACACATGCACCCAGCATGCTTTTAAAGTCCCGGAGGCCAGGACTTGAGCCACAGTCAGCCATGTGGGATCCAGCTCCCTTAATTACTAGGCCGCAGGCCTCACCCTCTAGCTAAACTTTAGAAAAAAAAATATTTAATTTTATTTATTATTACTAATTTTTTAAAAATTGCTGTAGGGCATGTGTACTCAGAGAGAGGGACAAAGAAAAAGAATGCAAACCACATCTGGGAGTTGAACCACAGTCAGCTATGTAGGAATTCAGCACCTTAACCTCCACACCACCCACTGGCCCCTTCCAAGTAACTATTTATTAATTAATTTATTTAAAAGAATTATTTATTTTAATTTTATTTATTCAGTTATTTATCTTAATTTGACCATAGACACACAGAGAGAGAGAAAGAAAGGGAAAGTGAGAAAGCAAGCCACCAGATCTGGGACTCGAACCATGGTCAGCTATGTGGGATTGTCCAGCACCTTAACCACCATGCCACCCACTGGCCTCCCAGCTAACTTTTAAAAACAAACAAAGCAGTCAGGCAGTAGTGCAGTGATGAGGCTACTGGAACCACATGGGAAATGTCTTGGGTTCATATCCTGAAAGTTCCCTGAGCCCGCCAGGTGCTTGCATGCACCTGTGAACTGGGCTGACTGAGACTGGGGGGGTGGATCCTGGTGTGGGGACCCTGTTGGGGGGGCCTACATCTCTGTCTTCCTCAGGGATGAAATAAACTTTAAACCCCACAAAAAAAAACACACAAAGATCTAAAATATGAATGAAGTTTAAAAACTTCGTGGAACAATGGAATTTAATCGAGTTTATTTTGTGCAAAAATTTTTAAATCTGTACATAATTTTTCTCATAATACACATTTTTTCATGAACTTTCTGAAGACTATACTGTATCATAGGCTGATAGAATTCAATTATGTGTTTTTATTTTATTTTTTTAGTTTTGTTATATGGTGCTTGTACTTGCCAGAGCAAGACAGAGAAGAAAAATGAGAAATCCCCCAGGGGGGATAGACACATTGCAATCCCTTCCCCATTCTCCTCTTGAGATTTTGAGGACACATGCACACATGCCCGGCGTGATTTTCAAGCTGCTGGGTCCGGGACTCTGATCGCACTGTCAGCCATGTAGGATCCAGCTGCTTTAACCTCCGTGCCACCTGCTGGACTGGATTAAATCATCCTTTAACTTTTCAGATAAATACAGCAATATATGAATGTGTCTCTTAGGTTTATAACATTTTGTTACTAGATATGTAAAAAGTAAATAAAAACTCTCAGGGCTGGCTGGTGGGTGGTGGTTAAGGATGCTGGACTCACACATGGTTGACCCTGGTTTGAGTAATGGACCTAGTGACTTGTTTTCTCTCTCTCTCCCCCTCTCTGGTCAAATGAAAATAAAATAACTAAATAAAGGTAAATAATTCCTTTTAAAAAGTCTCTCTGAAGCTAAATATGAACTACAAAGAAAAAGCTTGATCATGTATCTATAGTGGAAAGACTCTAGATCAGAAAAAAAGAGTATTCATACTATTTGTGCCAGAACTGTTCTTAGCACTATGTACCTAGTAACCTATTTGAAATTCATAACCACTCTGATATACAATTACATCCATGTCATATGTGAGGAAGCTAAGGAACAAAAGTAATTTGTCTAACATCCGGCAAGTCAATGAATTATTAGGACTCGGGGATGTGGGTAACAGTGTTAAATCCTTTTAACCACATTCATCTTAGAAAAACTCAACCTTGAAATGTAAATGAGTACACTAAAACGCAGACCCATTTTCATAGCCAAGTTAAACCATTTGATGAGTCCAGTGTTTTATCACCCACAGTGATAATGTCTGAGCTGCCTGACTAGGATTTGAACGACTTCACCTTTTAGTCATGGGTTTATTTTTCATCAAGTTGAGATTGCAGAACATTAAAAAGAAACAAAATGATCATATCACTACAGTGAAACCACTGATGGAAATTCCAGGCTGTCCCGGAAAAGTCAAGATACATGTTTTCTGTTTCTCTTTCACAAAAGTGCAACATGACTTTTCTGACAATCCAAATATATTAAAATGTGTCCAAATTATTTTCCAGTGCAACTAAATTAAGAAAGCGTCATAGGGTACATAGCATTGTATGTTCTGCTTTTAATTTTTTTTCTGCATTGACATGTTTTAGATAACCCATTAGTTGGGACAACATTCTAATTGTTGGATATAAGTTGTTTTCAACTTTTTGTTCTCATAAAACATAGCAAATAACCTGATGTGTTTAGCCCTTGTATCTTGTATTTTTTTTTCTCCAGGATAAATTCCCGGAAGTAGAACTTCTGAGTCACAGGTAGGTACATGCTATGACTCGGTTCATAGTGCCGGTCTACATACTCATACGATACCATTAGCCACGCAGCAGTGCTGATTTCCTCACGTTCTTGCCAGCGATGAGCTCTGTTAAAATGATGGAATTTTAATGAGTAAAAGATGGTATCTTTGGGGTCGGTAGGTGGCGCAGTGGTTAAGGGCACTGGACTCCCACATAGCCAACTGCGGTTTAAGTCCTGGATCTGGTGGCTTGCGTGCTCTTTTTCTCTCTCTCTTTGGTCAAATTGAAATAAATAAATAAATAGACAAAGTTAAATAAAATAATTCTTTTAAAAAAGATAGTATCTTTATCTTTAATCTTTGATTACAAATGAAATTAAATTTTTTTGTGTATTTATAAGTTGTACAAAGGGACTTCAACAAAGTCATAAAATTAAAGTATATTTTGGAGCAAAATGTTTTTGAAATTCACATATAGTTTCCTCTATAATGTGCATTTCCATGAACTTTTTTGAGATCCCTGTTTTTGTGTGTGCAAACTGTCCTTATCCTTTTGCCATTTATTATAAACTTTTTTCTCTGTTTCAGACACCCACAAGTATGAAAAAAATGAAAGGACCAGCGTTACTTTCCGGAGACTAAATAAATGCAATCTTGAAAGTTTTGGAGTCTTTTTTTAAAAAGAAATTTTGTGGTAATCCAAAGTGTAACAATCACCCTTTAAATGGTCTTGCCTGACACAAACTTAGTGAACTCTTTCTCCTTAACTTCATGCTTTGAAGAAATTGTTCAGGGTCTTCAGCCTGTGCTCCCAAACCCTCTAGAATATTCTATTCTGTAGAGTATTCTATTCTTATCCTCTTAGGACCAATTCCTTTCATTTTATCTGTTTTTGTTTGCTTGTTTAAATCACTTTGAGGAACAAATATTATCCTTCCTGGGGAAGTTAACCTGTGATCAGAATGCAAACTTCAGCTGGAAGAGTGTGGCGCTGTAAGTACTGGCCATTGAGAGTGAGAACTTTCAGGGCTTTCTAAATGCCCAAAGTGAATGGCACCTTTGGGCAAATTAGAAAGCCGAGCACAAAGGCAGTTTCCATCTTTACAGTCACCTACACAGCACATATGCTGGGTTGTTTTCCACATTTGACATACGTGAACTTGTTTTTACAGCAATCCGAAGAGGTAGGTATGATCACTCCTGTTTAACAGATGGGGAAACTGAGAGTGTGCACAGAGAGTACATCAGCTCAGGCCACTGTGAGAATACCATAGACGGGGGCGGCTTAACAACAGATGTTTATTTTTCACAATTTTAGAAGTTGGGAGGTCCTCGAAGGCCTGGCGGGGCTCGATTTCTGCTGAGAGCTCGCTCTCTGGCTTATAGACGACTGTCTTCTCACTGTGTCCTCACAGGGCAGAAAGCTAGCTAGTGCTGGTCTTCCTTCTGTAACAGAACACCAATCCGATTGGACTGGGTTCCACTCTTAAAACCTCATTTAACTTTAATTACCTACTTGGGAACAGCAGATGGTGTAACGGTTAGGTCACTGGACTTCCATGCAGTCAACCATGGTTCTAATCCCAGACCTGATGGTTTAAATTCATGCTGGGCACGTGTGCATGTGTGCCCAAAATCTCAAAAGAGATTGAGGAGAAGGGATTACAATGTGGCCATCCCCCTCCAGGTGGTGATTTCTTGCTTTCTGTCTCTCTGTCTCTCTCTCTCCGGCGAGCACACGTGCCCTATAGCAAAAATCTCTCTTGAAAAAAAAAATTAACTGCTAAAGACCCTGTCTCCAAATACAGTCACTTTGGGAGTTAAGGTCCCAATGTATGCATTTGGGGAACAAATTCCAACCCCGCTCCTCCCCCATCTTATGTTCCTATCACACACACAATGTATTCCATCATAACTGCTGAAAGTCTTAATTCATCCCAGCATCAGCTCTCCCGTCCTAAGTTACAAATTACTGTGGAACAAATGATAACCAACTTAGGGGCTTGAAACAACACCCATATTATCTCAGTTTCTCTGAGTTAGGTGTTGGGTCTGGGCAGGACTTAATTGGGTCCTCTGCTTCAAGGTCTCTTACAAGGCTGAGGTCAAGGAGTTAACCAGGTTGAGGTCCCAGGCAAAGGCTTGAGTGGGGAAGGATCTGCCTCAGCTCACGTGGTTATTGGCAGAACTCATTTTCTCTAGGACTTCTAGACCAAGAGCTTCCGTTTCTAGCAGGCCGTTGGCCAGATGTCACCCTTAGTACCTTGCTGTGTAGGTCTACCCAACATGACTACTTAAGGAAAGTGTGCAAACCAGAGGCCGTGGTGAAAGTGGGCTAGCATGATGACGCTCATGTGATCACTGAAGTGACATTCCATTGCCCTTGCTGTGTCCTACGGGGTAGAAGGGAGTCATAGCCCTTCCAGGACCTAAGGGAAAGGATTGTACAGGGCACATATCTAGGAGTAGGGGGTCATCAGGGCCACCTGAGAAGCCACCTGGCACAGCCTCTGCCAGTGTCTTCATTTGCCATCTTCTCTCTATAAGTTACTGCTGACCAGACCACTTGCATCAAAAGGCCTAAATAAGAAATTATTTTATTGCAAATCAGTCAGAAAATCTGATTTTGAATTCTCTCTGGTCACTGGAGGCTGATCGACTGATTTTCCAGCATCTGACATGGGGTCTCCTGTGCTTTTCTGTCTTTCATTAAAGGCCAGGCATCTTGGGCTTCTGCAATAGGACCTCTGGAGTCTGGCCTTCCATACTCCAGTTCTGGTTCCTTTCGGTAGATTTCAAAGTGAATTTGGAATTGTGTGAGCGAGACTTTCTGGAACTTCAATTAAGATTTCATTAGGCTATTAGTGTGAGAATTAATGATGTCTTGTTTTCTTTCTGACATCTGAACAATTCCTAAAGCCACTGCCTGGCCCCATTCTTCTCAGCTCTCTTACATTCAAATGGAGTCTTGGAAAAGCAGGATACATGCTTTTATTATTATTTTTTAATCGTTTAATGGCTAGAGGAGTAGAATCTTTTTATTTTTTTGAAGAAAAGTAGAGTATATCACTATATCAGCCTTGTTAGCCTTACTAGGGCCCTGTCCCAGGACTGTTTTGTTTTGTTTTGTTGGGTCCATGTGCTCATCACAGATAGGGAGAAAGTGGGAAAGCACCCCCAGGGGTAATGGTCATGCTGAAAACCCTTTTCCATTCTCCTCTGGGGACTGTGGACATGTACAAATGCCCAGTGTGTTTTTTAAGCCACTGGGGCTGGAACTTGAACTGCCATAGAGGATCTAGCTGCCTTAACCCTCATGCCACCTGCTGGCCCCTCAGTTCTGCTTTTAAAAATCTATTTCCTTGTCCCCTCTGAGAGGCCATGCCATATGATGGTTAGGGACCATGAGTGCTGAAGTCTATAGCATTTGAGTTTGTATCCTCCTTCAGTCACCCACTAGCTGTGTGACCCTGTGCCTTCGTGTCTTTATTTGTAAAATGGGCATATCGATAATATCACCCTAGCCACCAGCAGGTGACATGGTTGATATGGAGCTGCACTCCTACATGGTCAACGATGGTTCAAATCCCATACCCAGCAGCCTGAAAAACCGGGCATGTGTGTGTGCCCAAAATCCTGAGGGGAGAATGGAGGAGAAGGGATTTTGGCATGACCATTCCCTGCTGGGGAGTGATTCTTCATTTCCTTCTCTCAGTCTTTCTCTGTCTCTTCCTGGTGAACACATGCACCCCAAGGCAAAAACCTAAAAACAAAAATTAAAAAAAAAAACAAACACTACCCTCATAGAATTCTTGTTAAAATTAAGTGAGTAAAAATGCACTTAAGGCCCTCAGAATAGGGCTAGGAGGCAACAAGGGCTTGCTACTATTAATTTGATAAAAAGAAATAATACAATAGGAGAAATTTTTAAAATTTTATTCTCATCATTTAAAAATTTGCTATAAGGCAAATATGCTCACCAGAGAGAGAAAGAGAGAGGAAAAGTGAGAAAGCAAGCTTCTAGGTCCGGGGCTCAAAGTGTGGTCAGCCATGTGAGAGTCCAGCTCTTTAACCACCGTGCTGCTGGCCGTCAGGGAGAGAAATTTTTTAAATGATAAAGATGACTAGAAAGATTTCTAAAACCTATTTCTAGACCAAACAAAAATTCTCTACTCCCTTTTGGGATTGTATTTAGGAAAAGAGCCCACTTTACCTATGATTTACGACACCTGGAGAAGGGATTCCTGACTCCCAGGGCTCACACCTATTGGCACCAGTTGTACCCCAGCCACCTAAAATGTCTCAGTAAACCCATCGTGTCCTGGCTCTCCTGGCCAGATAGACCGTAGGGCCTGGGGATGCAGAGGGGGACAGGATGTCACTTTCTGTGGCTGAGCTGGTTGTAATTTTCCTAGTAAATTTTGAAGGAAAATGGGAGAGGACTTGGGGACCCAGTGATTCTAAGGAAGGAGTGGGAATGAGTGAGCAACTGCAAGTAGGGAAGGAGGGTGCAGGGCCTGGGGGTGGAGGAGTAGGCAGCCAGAGCCATCGACACACTTTACCCTGGCGTCTAAGATGGAACTCCTGCCGTCTAAGATGGAACTCCTGCCGATGGTCCTGCTGCTATTGCAATGGACTTTTCCTTTCTCTCTGAATTAGTAGGAAGTAGATCCAAGAGTGATGGTTCTTGGTTTTTGTTGTTGTTGTTTGTTCGCTTTTTGTTTTTTTTTTTAAGAGCAATTTTTGCTATAGGGTGCATGCACTCACCAGAAAGAGAGATACAGAGTGTGAGAAATTACCCCTCGGGGGGATGGCCACACCACAATCCCTTCTCTTCCATTCTCTCTTGGGATCTTGGGCATGCATGCACACACACCTAGCGTGAGTTTTAAGCTGCCGTCCAGGGACTCAAACTGTGGTGGATTACATGGGAATCTAGTGATGTAGCCATTACATCATCTGCTGGTCCCAAGAATGATGTTTCTTTCTTTTTAAGATTTATTTAATTGCATTTGTTATTATTATTATTTTTTAATTTGACTAGGCAGAGACAGAGAGAGAAAGGGAAACTGAGAAAGCAAGCTGCCAGGTCTGGGACTTGAACCATGGTCAGCCATGTGGAAATCCAATATGCTTAACCACCACGCCACTTGCCGGCCTGAGTGATGTTTCTTAAACATTAGTGTTCTTGGTACATTGGGATGCTTATTAAAAATATCAGGGGCTGGATACTAGTACAGGGGTAAAACATGACTCTCTGAGCCTAACCCCGAGGAGAAGATTCTGGATTTGCTTCCAGAGGCCTCACTGACTACTCTGGAATGTGTCCATCATCCAGGGCTGGCTGAAGCTGGGATGGGCCGTGACACGAAGACCCTCTCTACCTCTGTCTCTTTGCTTCTTTCACTCATGGAAAGAATAAATAAGGAAAAACACTCATTTCTGCATCTACCTCCAAAGGTTCTGGCTCCACAATAGCACAGTGGTGGGGGCACAGTGATTTTTGTGAGGGTATCTGAGGGTTGTGGTGCCCCAAAACTTAGAAGGAGCATAGGGATGTGATTTGGGAGCAGTGGCCAGAGGCTTTTCTAGAAGCTGTATGTTTTTATAAGCACATTTCAAAAAGCAGTTGTAAGTGTTGTTTTAGGGGAGCCCATGGAAATTGTGGGGGGTGTAATGTCCTAAGATATCTTGTGACATCCCTAGTCTTTGAGGACCAGGCCTTCAGAAATACTCTCAAGAAGTATTAGAAATGGGTGTGGGGGGGTAGCAGGTGGCACGGTAGTTAAGGCACTGGACTCCCACATGGCCAACCCAGGTTTGAGTCCTGGACCGGCATCATGAAAACCACGCAGAGCACCCATGTATGAGTGCCCAAAATCCCAGGAGGAGAATGGAGGAGAACGTGCTCCCCCCCCGCCCCCCAGTGATTTCTCACTTTCCCTCTCTCTGCCTGTCTCTCTCCAGAGAGCTCTGGCACAGTATGGCAAAACCTAAAAAAAGGAATAATGGTGCCTTGGGTGCCCTGTCATTTTACAGAGGAAAACAATGGGGCCCAGAAAGGGTCAGCAGCTTCAAGGAGGCGGCACAGCAGACCTGAGACGACCCTTTGTAGGGCTCCCCAGCCAGTTCCCCACTCACTACACACCTGTTTCCTCCGGAATGGGAAACTGGGGAGAGGAGGTGAGAGGCGGATATGTGGTGCGGTTGAGGGAGCTGGGCCCGCCCCCAAGGTAGGCCAACAACAATTTAGTCCTAGTTGAAAATGGAGTCAGAATTATAATAGGAAAATTTTGGCTTGGCCTTCAGTCAAACCATTGTTATTAAAATCACCAACTGACTTAACTTCCAAAGACAAGATGTCTTTCCAGACCAAAAACCAAACTCCGGGTGTAGGACTTGTGTGTGTGTGTGTGTGTGTGTGAGTGAGTGTGTGTTTTGAAGATCTCTGAGAGGCAACACCCGCTCACCGAGCTGTGCTCCAGATCGTCTTCCTGGCAACAG